AGGGCACAGATTTATCAGCCAATTAGCAAATTTCACAGGGTTTAGTTTTGATATCATATGGAAAAGTAAGACACGTGAAGATCATATTTGAAATATGGTTTCACGAATAAAGAACCCAATAGTTCTCTTAAGATAAGTGAAGGGAAGTGGGTGATTTTGGGGAAAGAGCATTAGATCTGGAGGCAGAAAACCTGGATCATAATCTTGGCACTTCATTTTAGTTGTGTGACCTGATCCAAAGAAAGTCAAGTGTATAGTGGAGCTAGCTCTGGACTTGGTCTCATCTGGAGCTTAGTCTCTGTTATTTACTGTGTGACATTGGCTAAGTCACTTCATCTCTTTGCATCTTAGTTTCTTCCTCTATAAAATAAAGATGACCTCGTAAGATCCTTTCTACTTCTACTTCAGTGGTCTTATGATATAGGATTATCAGCTTCCTCATTTGTACAATGAAGGGATTTTTCTACACAAATCCAGATTTCCTTTACAGTTCTCACACTCTGTAATAGTTTTTCCACATTAAATTTAGTAGTAATGATCAATTCCAATGAAAGAAAATAAGGTTGGATATTTAGAGGTCTTGGCTGTTTTGAAAAAGAAATCTTGTCACACTTCCCATTTGCCTTTCTCAAAATATGCTTTGAACTTTCATTAAATGACATAATAGTCTTTTAGTTTCTTATCTTTCCCAGCCATGTTTTTATATATAGCATATACACATGCGTGCACATATGTGTACATGTGTATATGCATGTATAAAATCAGGTGATAGTTATTAGATGCTAATTTTCTTGGAGGATTACTGGTATAGACATTCTCCCTCATGATTAGGTTGTCACAGCACACCATTCTGATAGCCAGCTCAGTTGATACTGTGGAATAACTTTAAAAATCTGATTGTGACAATTGCTGAAACCCACAGGAAGTAGGCACAGAATGTTGTTTTGAAAGGCTTGTTTTATTCCAGTTTTGTCTTCTTGGTCCCCAGTCTGTCTCTGAACTCTCTGTTCTTGCTCTTGTGAAAAGGCTTTCTTGGGTACTATTTCTTAGTAGCTATGAGTAGAATTGGCAGAGTCTGCTGCCAGAAGAGAGAGGCAGGGGAGAGAGTATAGGTGGTAGGTTAAATTGGAGATTGACTGTCACAGATGCATGTTTACTTTCACTTGTGTTCAGAAGTATCCCTGAGGTCATTGAAAAAGAAAGGAAAAGTGACAGGTATCAAAGGTTAAAGATATAAGCATTCTGATTTTTAGAATCACTGTTTCTTCAGGAGAAAGTTAACTTCTCTATGTTCTAAGAGCTTACAGAACCTGTATGAATGTGTTTCCAATTGCTTAGTGCTGCCTTTTTTTTTTGAAGTTCCCGACAAATGTCTTCCATTTCATTGATGCCTTTTACTGATCAAAAAAGTACTTTTGCAGTGTTGCAACTGCAATTTTCATTATCTAATTGATCCTAAAAATTTTTTATTTTCAAATCAATTGAATTCAGTAAAATAAACATGATAGAATTTAAAATGCAGCCCCACTAATTGTATAAATTATATACAATTGTAGAAAGAAACTTATTAAATAACGTTTAAAAACTTTTATAGACTTTGGCTATAGTAAATGCTGAATTATATTAAGTACAACTTAAATGCTAAAAATCTTGATATTTGGACCTTTTGAAACTGAATTAAATGAAAACTAGCAGAGCTTTCATAAGCACTCTACTGTGTTATGAGTGTACCAGTATACTGTATTTGCAGGGTGTAATGGTGGAACATTCATAGACTTAGGAATCAGGTTTTAGTACTAGGTTTGCCACAGTATGATCTGGGACAGGTCCTATAAAATCTTTGGGCCTCAGTTTTGAAATGTAAAATGAAGAGGTTGACCGGATGCTCTCTCAAAGCTCTCCTAGTTCAAATGTTCATTATTTATCATGATTGGTTGGAAAGTAGATAGAATCTTGTCAGTTCCTATCCCCTTTTGTGTCTTAATTTTCCATTTTATTTTTTAATAAAAAATTGTCATGTCTTGGCTGGAGTTGAAAGTATAATACAGAAAGTAATATTCTTTCCGTAGGTGAGTAAAAATTAATAGTATCAAAGAAATGATACCTTTATTTTTTTTTTTTACATTTTAAGGGGATGTACTAAGTGGTTGCAGTAGAATGAATCAAAAATTTTCAGGGAAAAATATTTTGCCTTGCTGACTAAATCAACAAGATTACTCAATGCACTGATGGAGTATCTTTCTACCTATGTCATACCTAAGTATAACATCTTTTATTGGGTGAGTCTTGAGTATAATCAAGAATATGGTATGACATATAGTTTTTATTTCCTTTGGGAAGCTAGTTTAAAGAAAATCTTCAGGCCTTTTAATGTTAGATGTGTGTCTTAAAGGTATTTGATATCTTAGAGAGACTGTATGGTGGGAGAGCCCAGAAATGGCATTGTTACGGGAAGTGTTGACTGACCGGCTCTGGCAATTTGTTTCTATGTCCTCATGGAATTAGTTTTAATAATGTTGTAGAAATTATTGGTATCATATACCATATCAGTAAAGATTTAGGAATCTTATATTTGATCCAGGACTCTCTTTTCATTTTAAGATTCCTTTTCTCCTAGGCTGGGCTGATAGGACCTGAATGGAACTTGGAACAATGTGGGCCTGGCTGTCTAGTACCTATTTCCTCTTCATTTTTAGAAAATGTGATTATGGTTTTAGATTGCCATCTTATATTGAACACTTCTTGGCAACCGCTAAAAGAGCTTTTGGATGCTCTGCTATTTTGGGAAAAACTCAGGAGGTGTGGATATAGAAATTTTTTTTTCTTGCCAATGAGCACTGCTTTTTTTGATTACTGCTTTAAATATGTAGTTATTCAACCATTGTTTTGTTTTAAAGGAATGCCTAAAAAAGTATTATTTTGACTTTGACAATTTGAACTGATTAAAAAGTGGACACTGAAGAGACTTGAGGACTAGTATAGCCTAAGGCTAGAACTAGATAGCTAGAAACTGTGTATCTTTGTCTTGTCTCTCCACTAAGATTGAGTGACATTGCTCAATAAATACTTACTTAATTGTATTGAATTCCCTATTAGATGGAGAGAGGGGTATATTAGCATGAGTATCAGATATATATTGGAATATGTGAGAGACATTGTGATATAGTGGAAAATAGATTTGGAGACAGGAAATAATCTTATGAGTTTGAATACACTGCCACTTAACTAGGTATGCATTTTGAGGCAAGCCCCTTGGTCCTGAGTGTTGTTTCCTCTTCTATGAAATGAGAATAACTTTATCTTGCAGTGATGCTATGAGAATTAAATGACATGATGGATGTAAAACACTGTGTAAAAACATTAAAGCCTATGTAAATGACAGTCTTATTATTCAACTCAATTCTAAATAATCCTTGATCATTGACCTGCTACTTAGCTTTTTGTAAATAAGTAGTTCTTATAAATAACTAATAAAAATATTAAAACATTCTACAAACATATATAAAGTGTCATATAAATATATAATGGAAATTGTTAGTTCTTTGCTTAGAATATGCATTACCATTAAATTGCACCCATTTTTAAGGGAAAAAACCCATTTATTTTTAACATTCTTTTCTTTTTAAATTTTGAGTTCTCAGCTCTCTCCCTCCTTCCTGTTCTCTCCCATATCTACTGAGAAGGCAGGCAATATGATATCAATTATAAGTGTGAAATCATGCAAAACATATTTCTATATTAGCCATATTTTAAAAAAATCAAGAAAAATAAAGTGTGAAAATTATACTTTGATTTGCATTCAGAGTTCATCAATTCTTTCTCTGCGGGTAGATAGTACTTTTTTCATCATGAGTCCTTTGGAATTGTCTTGGAACATTGTATTGATCAGAGAAGCCAAGTCTTTCACAGTTGATTATCTTTACAATATTGCTGTTACTGTGCACAAGGATTTCCTGGTTCTTCTCACTTTATTTTGTATCAGTTCATATAGGTCTTGCCATGTTTTTCTGAAATCATTCTCCTGGTTATTTCTTTTCTTTTTTTCTTTTTTTTTTTTGTGAGGCAGTTGGGGTTTAGTGACTTGCCCGGAGTCACACAACTAGTAGGTGTTGTGTCTGAGGCTGGATTTGAACTCAAGTCCTGCTGACTTCAGGGCTGGTGCCCTATCCACTGAGCCACCTAGCTGCACGCCATCCCCCCCACCCCCCACCGTCATTTCTTATAGCACAATACTACTCCATCACAGTGATATGCCACCACTTGTTCAGTCATTCCCCAATTGATGAGCATCCCTTCTATTTTCAATTCTTTGCCACTACAAAAAGAATTGCTATAAATATTTTTGTCCATATAGATCCTTTTCTGTTTTCTTTGATCTTTTTGAGATCCAGACCTAGTAGTGGTATTTCTGGGTCGAAGGGTATACAGTTTTATAGTCCTTTGGGTCTGGTTCCAAATTGTTCTTCAGAGTGGTTGAACCAGTTCACTACTCTACCAGCAGTTCATTAGTGCAGTGCGCTTCTTAAACTGTGGGTTGTGACTCCATGTGGGGTCATGTAACTGAATGCGGGATTCGTGAAAAATTTGGCAATAGTAAAAGGTTTCTGAATGTGCAATGATCAAAAATTAATTCAAAATCAAACGTTTAATGGATCCAAGGTGTTTCTGGCAGCGTTTGCTCATGTAGCATTATGTGACTTCACTGCAGCCTTGGTTCTGAACCCACAACATGCGCACTTTGCACTGAGTATGTTGTCAGTGCCAACAAACCTGCTGGAAATACCTCAGCTTAAATTTGAGACTATTGAATGTTATAATTGCAGTGTTTTTATTGTACATAAAAGTTTTCTGTTCTTATAGAAAGATAATAGTTTAATTTTGGAAAATAAAGACTTTAAGTATTTTCCTACTGTCGTTCCTCAGTATCAGATTAGTATATCTTTGGTTTGTATTGTGTTAGAATGTTTGATTTTTAAAATTGCTGTTATCTCCTTTTACAGGCGCATAGGTGTTTAATTGCAGCAAGTAAAGACAAAAGCTCTTTAAAAGTATTTCTCCACCGTTACCACTGTATGTGTATGTAAGTGTGAACATCAATTTTTTTAAAATAAGCACAATGTAATTTCATAAACTAAAGCTAGTATTTGAGAAATTATTAGCAATATTTATTTATATTTTAGGACAAAAATTTTTTTGGTTATGGGTAAGTGCCTAAATTTAGACAGAAGAGGTAAAAATACTGATGATGGAACAGCATTCTTTGCTACCAGGATGTGATACATCTGAAGTGACAAGAAAAACAAAGTATGTCGAATCATTTTTGCAATATGGATTTACTTCTGATAATGATGATGGTGTGAAAAACTTCTTTGCTTAATTTGTAATGAAGTTTTGGCTGAAGAGAGCATGAGACTAGCCAAACTAAAATGACATCTTAATACCAAGTATGCAATGTACTGCAATAAACGAAAGGAATATTTTGAATGACTTTTAAAATCTAGATAAAGAAAAACAATGTTTTGAGAAATTTATTACTGTCAATGAAAAATATTGACTTGCAGCTTATGAAACTTATTATTTAACTGCAAGAACTAAAAAGCCCTATGCAATGGTGTTAACTGCTGCTATTAAAATGTCAGAAATAGTTCATGGGAAAAAGTATGGGAATGAAATTCATAAATTCCTTTATCAAATGATACTATATACAAAAGAATTTCTGAAATTAGTAATCACCAATACCAGCAGCTTATTACTAGACTTAAGGGCAGCCCAAAGTTTGCAATTCAGTTAGATGAAACAACTGATTTCTAACATGGCACAGTTGTTGCCTTATGTAAGATATGTTTATAAAGGAAGTATACGTGAGGAATTATTGTTTTGTCACTCTTTGGAAGGGCACATGAGGGGAAGATATATATCTTAAAATTGATCAATTTTTCACAAATGAAGTTTTACAGTGGAAAAATGCATTGGAGTCTATACAAACAGTGCTGGAGCATTGATGGGTGAGAATGTTGGATTTGTAGCAAAAGTTAAAGCTGGTGGCAATGAACATATCACTTTTACTCACTGCATGATTCATCAGCAGGCACTTGTAGCCAAAAAAAAAAATATCACCAGAGTTAGATGTTGTGCTTCATTGTACTATCAAAATCATTACCTTTATTAAAAGCTCTGTCCTTAACAGTAGTTTATTTTCAAAACTTTGGAAAGACATGGACTCCAGTTACAAAAGCTTATGACTACCTACAGAGGTAAGGTGGCTCTCAAGAGGGCAAAGTTTAAACAGATTATTGAAATTAAAAGGTGAAGTTGTTATATTTTTGACTGAGCAGAAATTGATTTTATTAATTTTTTTCATAATGACATATGGCTTTCAAAACTGTTATTTGTCAGATATTTTTGAAAAACTCAGTGATTTAAACATGTCCCCTTCAAGGAAAAAATTGTAACATTTATATTAAAAGATAAAATTGGAAGTTTTAGTAAAAAAGTTAACATATGGAAGAATAGGGTAGAAAATGGTTTTTTAGAAATATTTACAGGTGCAGATGATTTTATAATTGAAAATAACATTCTCCAAAGATTTAATTGCAAGAGTTATAATTGATCATCTGAAGTGCCTGGAGGCACAGTTTTAGAAATGCTTCCCTTCAAATTTTGAATCTAAAAAAAACAAGTTGGATTCATAAACCATACTCAATTGAAACAAAAAACGTTAGTTATCTGCCATTAAAAGTTCAAGAAGAATTTGCCAAGTTATCAAGTGACACAGGTTTAATACTTGAGTTTTCCTAAAAAATCATTCAATGAATTTTGCTTGGGATTAGGACAGAATTTCTAACAATTTCTAAAATGACCCTAAACATATGTCTGCCATTTTGTACTACGTATTTATGTGAAGTGGCAGTCTCAGCATTGATGATTATAAAATCAAAGTATCAATCAGCTCTGAAAAATGTTGAAGATATTCTGCATCCTACATTATCAAATATTCCACTAAGATTTAATTCTATATGTAAAAATAAACAATCCCATCTATCTCATTAGTATGCAAATTTGCTTTTGTCTTAATAAATGGTAAAATTACATATATATATCAAGGAATTGTTTTAAAATAAATTTCCTTATGATTTATTATCAGTAAATGTTTGATTTGTATACCTGTTTTATATACCTATATACCTGGGGTAGCGTAAAAATTTCTTGGACAAAAAGGGGTTGTGAGTGGAAAAAATTTAAGAAGCCCTGCATTAGTGTACCTATTTCCCCCTCATACCCTTCAGCATTTGCCATTTCTGTGAGGTGGTACCTCAGAGTTGTTTTAATTTGCTTTTCTCTAATGAATAATGATTTAGAGCATTTTTTCATATGACTATAAGTAACTTTGATTTCTTCTTCTGACAACTGCCTATTTATATACTTTGGTCATTTATCAATTGGGAAATAGCTCTTTTTTTTAAAAATAAATTTGAATAAGTTCCCTATATACTTGAGAAATGAAATGTTTAAATGTTTATCAGAGAAATTTGGCCCTTAACATTATTTTGATCTTCATTGTCTATGGTAACTTTTAGCAAAATGTAGTTTTCCTGATTATCTCTTTTAATTAGGTCTGTTTTTGCTTTTACTTTGTCTCAGATTGTGATTTCTACTCCTGCTTTTTTTTTTTTTTGGTGGTTCAGTTGAAGCATATAGATTATGTTCCAGCCCTTTATTTTAACTCTGTGTCTGTCTGTTTAAAGTGTGTCTTGTGTAAACAAGATATTGTTGAATTCTGGTTTCTAATCTATTCTGCTATCTGCTTCTGTTTTATGGGTGAGTTTATCCCATTCACATACACAGTTATAATTACTAATGTGAATTTCTCTCCATCCCTTTTCTTCTTTTTCTTCTATCTCTTTTCAACCTGTCCTTCCTCAAAAGTCTATTTTGCTTCTGACCACTGCCTTCCTTAATCTGTCCTCCCTTTTATCACCCCCTCACCCTTTCTTTTTATACCCTTCCCCTCCTGTTTTCCTTTTGGGAAAGATAGATTTCTATATACAGCTGAGTGTGTGTGTGTGTGTGTGTGTGTGTGTGTGTGTGTGTGTGTATGTATTTTTTCTTCCCTCTTTTAAATCAGTTCTGATGAGAGTAAAGTTCAAGCATTGCCCAGCATCCTCCTCCCATTTCCCTCTCTATTGTAAAAGCTCTTGCTGTTTTATACTTCTTTTATGTGAGAAAATTTCCCCCATTTTACCTGTGCTTTCCCACTCTTCCCAGTGAACCCCTCTTTCTCACCTCTTTATTTTTTTGGAGATCATTTCAACATAATCAACTTATACTTATGCCCTCTTTCTATGTAAACTCCTTTTAACTGCCCTAAGAATGATAAAGTTTCTAGGAGTTACATGTGTCATCTTCCCACATAGGAATGTAAATAGTTTAACTTTATTGGGACCCTTATAATTATTCTTTCCTGTTTACCTTTTTGTGTTTCTCTTGAGTCTTATGTTTGAATGTCTCATTTTCTATTCAGCTCTGGTCTTTTCATCAGGATGCCTGAAAGACCTCTATTTTGTTAAATATCTATTTTTTCCTCTTGGGTGATTACACTGAGTTTTTCTGGATAGGTTATTCTTGGTTGTAATCCTAACTCTTTTGCCTTCTGGAATATCATATTCTAAGCCCTTTGGTACTTTATTATGGAAGCTGCTAAATCTTCTGTGATCTTGACTGTGGCTCCACAATATTTGAATTATTTCTTTCTGGCTGCTTAAAGTATTTTTTTTCCTTGATCTGACAGCTCTGGAATTTGACTATGCTGTTTTTAAGAATTTTCATTTTAAGATCTCTTTCAGGAGATGATTGGTAGAGTCTTTCAATTTCTGTTTTACCCTCTGGATCTAAGATATTGGCGGCAGTTTTTCTTGATAATTTCTTTTTTAAAAAATTAATTTATTTATTTTTAGTTTTCAACTTTCACTTCCATGAGATTTTGAGTTCCATACAAATTTTCTCCCCCCACCCCAAGATGGCATGCAGTCTGATATAGGTTCTACATATACACATATACATTCATATTGAACTTATTTTCACATTAGTCATGTTGTAAAGAAGAATTAGAACTAATGGGAGAAACCATGAGAAAGAAGAAACAAACAAAAATAAAGAAATGAAAAAAGAGCAAATAGTATATTTCGATCTGCATTCAGACTCCATAGTTCTTTTTCTGGATGTGCACAGCGTTTTCTATCATGAGTCCTTGGAGTTGTCTTGGGTCCTTGCATTGCTGAGAGGAGATGAGTCTGTCAGAGTTAGTCATCACACAACATGGCTGTTATTGTGTACAACGTACTCCTGGTTCTGCTCACTTCACTTAGCATCAGTTCATTTTAGTCTTTTTCTGAACGTCTTTTCTGAAGTCTGTCTGTTCATCATTTCTTATAGCATAATAGTATTCCATTACATTCATATGCCACAACTTGTTCAATCATTCTCCAACTGATAGGCATCCCCTCAATTTCCAATTTCTTGCCACCACAAAAAGAGCTGCTTGTAAATATTTTTTTGTACGTGTGGGTCCGTTTCCATTTGTATGGTCTCTTTGGGATACATTCTTAGAAGTGGTATTGCTGGGTCAAAGAGTCTGCACATTTTTGTAGTCCTTTTTTTCTTGATAATTTCTTGGATTATGTCTAGGTTCTTTCTTTGATTATGGCTTTTAGGTAGTCCAATAATTTTTAAGTTGTCTCTCCTTGATCCCAGGTCAGTTCCTTTTTCTGATGAGATGTTCAACATTTAACATTCTATTTTTTTTCATTCTTTTGACTTTGCTTTATTGTTTCTTGATGTCTCATGGAGTCATTAGCTTCCACTTGCCCTTTTCAAATTTTGAAGGAATTATTTTCATTGAGCTTTTTGCTTGCCTGTTTTAAAATTTGGCCAATTCTGCTTTGTAAAGAGTTCTTCTCTTTGGTGGATTTTTGTGCCTCTGTCTCCATTTGGCCAATTCTGTTTTTTAAGGTGTTCTTTTCTTTTTCTTTTTTTCTTTTTAGGCAATTGGGATTAAGGGTCACACAGCTAGTAAGTGTCAAG